GAACAAAACGGAGTAAGCGTAACGGAGATAGCAAGATTAATGATGTACGCTCATGAGCCATTACCGCAAGTGCTATGGGCAGAGCTCATTAATACCGCCGCATACATACTGAACAGAACAGGTCCCACAAGTTCAGATAAATCTCCGCATGAACTTTGGTATGGAAAGAAACCTATTATTAAACATCTCCGAATAATAGGCTCAATCGCATACGTCCATATTCCAAAGCAGAAGCGTAGAAAATTCGACAAAAAGGCGATAAAAGGTCGACTTATCGGGTACGACGAAGATTGCTACCGTATCTGGATCACAGACGGAAAACACTCGACGCTCGTCCGCTCTCGTGACGTAATCTTCGATGAGAAACCTCTTCCTATCTGTAATAGTGAAATTCCTAAAACAGAAGTTGAGACAAGAGAATACCCGATTACCATAACGCCAAATACGAACTTAGAAAGAGAAGTTACAATTCCAGAGCAAACACACGTTCACGAGGGAGATACAACTACCGAAACAATCTCCAGCGAGCATGATCATGTTCTCGAGGGAGAAGAGTCGGATCAAGTCCTCTACGAAAACCATGACCATGAAGACGAAATGACAGTTCCAGAAGAATTTTATGACGCTGAACCACCGCCAACCGACTATAATCTTAGAGATCGCTCACTGATTCGACGTCCTGAGAGACTAAGAGATTACGTCTGTATCACTGAAACATTCCCAAATAATTTCGCAGACGCTATGAAAAGGGACGATCGCGAAGAATGGCAAAGAGCAATGGATAGCGAATTGAAATCCTTCGAAGACCTGAACGTTTGGACGCCGTGTGCATTGCCAAAAGGACGAAAAGCACTTCCCTGCAAATGGTTTTTACGGATCAAAGGAAATCCAGATGGCACGATCGACAAATACAAAGCTCGATTTGTCGTAAAAGGGTACAGACAAAGGAAAGGAGTAGACTATGACCAGACCTTCAGTCCTGTGGCACGCCTGACTACTGTACGAGCACTACTCAGTGTTAGTGCGCATGAAAACTTACATCTGGTCCAATTCGACGTCTGCACAGCCTTTCTGAACGGAAAGCTCGAGGAAGAAATATACGTTCAATCGCCAGAAGNATACAAAGCTCGATTTGTCGTAAAAGGGTACAGACAAAGGAAAGGAGTAGACTATGACCAGACCTTCAGTCCTGTGGCACGCCTGACTACTGTACGAGCACTACTCAGTGTTAGTGCGCATGAAAACTTACATCTGGTCCAATTCGACGTCTGCACAGCCTTTCTGAACGGAAAGCTCGAGGAAGAAATATACGTTCAACCGCCAGAAGGGTGCAACCTCACGGAAGGAACGTCTACCGTTTTCAAGCTTAACCGTAGCCTGTACGGACTTAAACAAGCACCAAGTGGGTATGAATGATGTAATTAAGGTTCAATTTAGTTTGCGTACAATCCGAAAAAGAAAAACTGTGTGTGGTTGCAACGACATTTATTGTGCGACTGACTTAAATTTTGACAAGTAAAAATATCGTAATTAGCAAAGAGTATAAGGTTATTAACAACATACCGCCCACCAAAGGACTGCTAAGTACTTTCTAAATCTATTGCACTAATTACAACGTCAAGGTGACTTCAAAACAATATTCTACAAAATGAAACAAAGATTGCTTAAATACTAAACATCATAATACAATATGCTTAACTTGAGACTTAGTATTAATTTAATAATAATATTGCTACAGTGACATTTGTGGTAGAGAATCTTGACAAAATTACAAGATGACATAATTTTGTTATTGATCTTTTTGTCACAGCACTGCCACTTTTCACACTGTAAACTCTCGTGAGATTATCAGGACCTGGGTGCTTCTCGACTATTCTTCCCAAAGACCATTTTCCAGGCGGCAAGTAATTTCAGGAATTCCCTTTCCGTAAGCCATTAATGTTGTCTAGAAGTCGACAATGGTTCACCTCTATCAACAGAAAAAGAAAAACAAAAGAAAATTAACTCTTATTTCACAGTAAAAAGGATACTTAATTATTAGTTTTATCAAAAAATACGTCTTCATCCTAAAATCTGTTATAGATATAAAAGTTAAGCCAAATCGTAGTCAAAAATCTGTAAAGATACAGATAAACCTGTATATATGGCAACACTGCTGACAATACTTTATTAGTCGACTTCCTTTTTTGGCGGGAAATAGGAAGGCGGCAAATTGGATTTTTTTTTACAAAAATTTTATATGTTTGTAATAGTTGTAAATATTAAAAAATTATAAAATGTCGTCAGAAAGTGACGACGATGATGAGGGAAAAAGAAACGAGGCGAAAAAACGCAGATATCAAGGGGACGACGGACAATCAGATTCGGACTGCAGATATAAACCCTTTCTCAAACTCGGGTACCGTCGTAGTTATCCTGATAACTCTCTTAACGACGAGTTTCCTGTCTACATCGAAGGTATCAGCAGAGAAGATAAAATTGGTAAGAAAAACCTTTGCTTTTATCAAAAAATTTCAAGTCGGTGAAGGGCATCAAATAGAACAGGCGCATTAATGCTTTTTTTTTTTTTTAGGAAATCGCCGGACTCCCACCTTCCACTGGGGATGGAGGGTGGGGCATGTCGGAGTTGAACCGACTAAAACCTCCTGTCGCTCAACAACCAACGTCCAACCCTCGCATGAGACAGAACTCATGAAAAGGCAAGGGGAGGAGAGTGAAGCGTTTAGTGCGGAGCACATCTCTCCCATCACCCTCCCCCTCGGGACGCCGGGCCAGCGATCGTCGGCGCCACGACCACCAGCCCTCTCGGTCGGCAGGCTGTCCGAAGCCCGCCTAGATGGCGCCGGTTTGAATAGGTTATCCTACGAAATACCCCGCTGGGTCAGAACCAGCGTGGGTCGAGGATAGCCGGCCTTCCATCACCCGGATGCTCT